ACTGCCACCCTGCAGCCTTCCTTGGGACGAGCTTTGCCGTTGATCCAAACAGCGGATCTGTGAGCGAGCCAGGATCCCGCATACCCACGTACCCGTGATGGCTGACGAGGGCTTTCACGCTGCGTGGGGCAGCGTCAGGCACAGCGCCGTGCCCGGGCAGCCTGTGCACAAGCTGGATGCCAGCTGCTGCCTCACAGCCCTGGTGTGGACCTGGAGCCACTCGGAGCGAGCGCTGTCACAACACATAAATAACGCCAAGGAGTTCATTGCATGTAAAGTCATTCCCTTCCCTACATCTCAGATGGGAATATTTATGCAGTAGCATATTTATGGTAATGGTATCAACAGATATTAAAACTCTATCCAGGAGGATTAAGAGTACTTGGTTATGCGAGCAAGTTGTCCAGAAGAAGTGTTTTCAAAAAAAGAAACCTAAATTCATCTTTGCAGAAATCGTAATTCACATGTTGGCTGCTGTTTGTTTTAAAGACTTTTCTCCTGGAGTCTTGTGATGATACATCCATTTGAACAAAAAATGTCTTGTTTCATGATTGTGTCTGTTTCATAGTTCATGACAAATATGTCCTAACTGTATCCTAAAAAAAGTAGGGGTGAACGGAAAACAACATTTATTTTTAATTCCATGTATTTTCAGCTTTTATATTATTTTGCACGGCCTCATTAATGAATACTGAATGCTTGGTGTTAGGATTACTGTGTTTGATGCTCTAGATGTTGTGCTCATAGATACAACTTTTCTGTCAGGCTACTCCAAAACTAAAATCTTGGTTTCCTGCTCGGCAAGCAAATTCCAAAATCAAAAGTGAGAAGAGACTTACTTCCTTTCCCCCTCAGTATTTTTCTACCATATTGACACTGTGTTTGACAAACAACGTTAAATAAGCTTCAAAACTCTTATCAGCTACCAGGTCTTAGTAATGAGGGGAAAATTGGGCAAGCTAGACCAAGACATGACCAGATGGGAATCAAAACAAAATTGGCAAATTTTGGTTTCTTATTTAAACCCATCGCCATCTCTGTTTTCTCTCTCAGCTGCTGGGTGTTGGGTTCAGCCCGTTGATGGATGTGTCACTGCCTAGCGCAGGCTCTCGGCGGTGACACCGCCAGGGAGGCAGCTCGCTGGCCCCGAGGCTTGGCTGCCTGTCCCAGCTGGGCTGCTCCAACGAGAGAGAGAGGAGGTGGATGGAGCAGCCCGGCCAGCGTTGCTTCCCCACCTCCTCTGTGCTGGCTCCAGCCAGCTAAAAGCGTGCAAATGTTTGAGGTAACCTTGGGTCTCTGGCACTGTTGACTCTGCTAATCAGCAACCTGTTGGGCAATAAGGATGTGCAGCAATAGCTGCATTTACCTAGAGGTTAAAATAACTGCTGCAGTTCTCCACCCTGAGCCTTAATGGGATGCTTTCGTGATAGAATGAAACCAAACTCTAGTACAACTTCGGTCTCATCTGACCCGGGGCAAATGGCTCCTGCCCCTGCCAAGGCTGCCCCACCATGGCATCTCCCAGCCCCTGCTAATCCTCCTTCCTCCGTCCACCACCGTGGCTGACTGGGATCAGCAGCTCCCCAAGTCAATATTTTGGTTTTACATTAACTTCCATGAGCCTCACAGAGACATCTCATGCTGTCGCACCTCAGTGATGATAATAATTCAATGCACAATAAAGAAAAGGGTGAATCTGCAAACAGGCTGCCAGCCATTTCCTCTTGTCAGTGTATGAAATTCTTCAAAAGGAGCAATATCTCTAATTAGTAGGCAGCAAGATGCAACAAGTCTGCAATAATGTACAGCATTTTATAATGTCTCAAGTGATATGAGAAGCATGAAGTGAGATACCCGTGGCCTTTCTGACACAGGAAAAATACTAGTAAATGTAGCTGATTGCTGTTTTTCACCAGACCCCAAGGAATAGTTGGTAAATGGATGTTGGAAATCAGTATTTTTCATAATAATCCCATGTTTGAAATGTCCTGACCTTAAAAATACAGTATGAAATTAGTCCCAGGAGAAGAAACCTAGCAAAGGTGACAGATGCTTGTTTCCTTTATTAGAATCCCTCAATTATGAAAAAGTGACAAATGGATTGAGCTGAATTAACATGCGTTAAAAATGAATGAAAAATATGTCTTTTGACTGGTTGAGCTGAATTAACATGCATTAAAAATGAATGAAAAATACGTCTTTTTCCCAGTTAGAAAAAAAATCGCACAATACAAGTATTCAAAAAAATGAAATACATCTCTGGCTTTCAAATGGTTGCTGTCTTTCTGCAGCAGCTTCTTGAAAATGTCACGTGAGATTAGATCAGGACACTGTTGTGCTGGTGAGCGCACGAATCCTTCCTTCCAACAACTTACGGTCTCAGGCAAGGTTTTCAAAGACAACTGCTCATTTGTGATACCTTTTGAAAAGATATTACTTTCAGAAAGCTCTGGGTATGTACTGCTAGAAAAGCATGGTCCTTAGAGGAGTCTCCAGCTGGGCACCAAAAACTATATAGGAAAAATAAGCACTTCCAAAACCCTGGCCTCAAAAGACATAGCGAGAAGAGAAGAAATGGGCTAGATCATCACTGAATCCTCAGTTTGCTTGCTCTAAATGCAGAGCTTAAGAGAATTACTACTTTCCCTTGATAGGTGACACCAGTTGCATCCAGCCTGGCTCTGCAAGGTGTCCTGCATGGCTCAAAGTGGTTGTGGCTCTCTCTGTGGTGTGAACGGAGCTCAGATCAGGACCAGTCCCCGTTTCTCCTCGTTCATGTTTCTCCTCTGCCTGAAGGGCCAGCTGGCTCATTTCAGACTTAAGCACAAATACAAGCCAAGGGCTTAGACAATGTGGATGATTGGGGAATGTCAGCATGACTGCAATCCTGAGGCCTGACCTGGTATAATTAGCCAGCTTACCCATTTTATTTTAGCCCTCCATGGCTAGGCAAGATATTTTCTGTTGCTTGGGAGAGCTTTTCAAATTTTCCCTTCTTGGTGGCAGATGAGCTATTTAGCCTCAAAAAAAGTCCTGTTTCTCCTTTGTGAGACAGGCTTATCTCTGTTGATGCTACACAGATGGGAGATATCCTGTAGTTCACCTGGAATCAAACACTTTTGAGATGAGGTACCAATTTGCTTCGCTCCAAGTTTAAAACCTTCCCCAGATTTCCCCTTTATCTTCATACCTGCTTAATATTGCGTTGTTTTCTGTCCTGGGGAATACAGTGAGTTATCTGCCTAGAGTAACTGAAGGCTCAAAACCTTTCCATCCATTCTTCCATGGAATGAAACAGTTGCTGGGTCCCAAACGTGCATCTTCTTCAGGCCGCTACTGCCATGGGTATCTCATATAGTAGATGACGGTAGGTGGTGGGATCATAGCACTAGAGAACCTTGAGAGCAAAAGCAAGGAAGCTGTAAAAACAGAAATCAAAAGAAGCAGCATAATCAGGTGAATATGCCCACATAAGGAAGGAAATAGCTAAGGAGACTGTTATTCAATTGTTCCTCTAATTCATAGGCCATATTTAGACAGAGAGATAAAGTGCTCATGGCAGGGTGTGGGTTTTTTTTTTAATCTTATTCAGCATTCTTCCAGCACCTGCTGGTTTAACATCCCATCCTTTCCCTGCTCGCTCAGACCTTCATGCCATTTCTGCAAGGGTTTGGGATTGGGAGAGGCAAATATGGGCAAACTGATAGCTTGGCAGAGACAGTCAGCATGCACTCTGCAGAGAAGAGCCCCCTGGGCATGATTTTGAAGAGGTGAGAAGCAGAAATCCAGTGCCAGCCTGAGTTTCAGCTGACGTGAATGGTGCCTTGGCAGCATCAGTATCCCATTAGCTTCACAATTTGGAATCTGGCCCAAACACCCCAGCGATCCAGCTCTTCCCACAAATACAGACATGTACATTCATGCAAGAAGCAGGACTTAGCTAGAAAGGGTGCAAAGCCCACCCTGATGAGTCCCATCCCAGCACTGCCCTGGTCAGGGACCTCGTCGCTAAAACTAGTGAGAAACAAAGGTGTGTCCAAACACGTTGAAATAACAGGATGGATTTGCCTCGGCATGGCTCCTTGCCTCCAGAGGCTGGTGTAAGCCTGTGATGGGTTTACACACCTTTTTGTGGCTACATACTGAATAAACACTGAATGCGCTTCAGTGGGAGCAGTCCTGCATGGGCACTGGTCTCCTGCTCAAGGGCAGAACAGGGAACACAAATCACCAGCAGAAAATGTACAGTTTAGCTTGGGAGGGACCTCTGGAGATCATTTCACTCAACTGTGCTCAAAGCAGGGCCAAGTTAGGCTGTTCGGGCCTTGTCTGGTTGAGTTGCATGTATCTTTGGAGGTGGAGACCACACAGCCTGGTCAGGTAACTTGTTCTGAAATTTGACCACCCTCACTAGGAAGAGGTTTGGTTCCTTTTACTTAACTGGAATCTCTTTTGTTGCATCTTATGTCTATTACCTCTTGTCCTTTCGCTGTGCATCTCAAAGAAGAGTTAGGGTGGAGGGGAGGAGAAATTACAAGAAACCTTCACCTATTCCTCTTTTGTGGTGTGATCACCTTACAGCTTTGCAAGGGCTTTCCAGCATTTGGCTATCAAGTCTTTAGTAGTTAATGTAAGCCCAGCCAAACCAAAGAGCCTGGTCTCTGGGACTCAGACTAGAACAAGGGTAAGAAATGCTTTCACATGTGGTAATAAAATGAATGTAGGATTTGTTAAATCATACAAATAGTTGCTGGTCTGCAATTTATATTATCCAAGGAAATGATTAAACGCTGTGTTTTTTTGTTGATAAGTAAAGCTGATTAAAGAAAGTAGCAGACTAAAAATATATATTTTAGGAGTAGTTTGTCTTTACAGCAGAAGTACATATGCTCAGCCCAAACCTGACGTTTTTACTTTACTTGAAAATAAAATGGTGAAAATTCCTTTTCTCCATTCTGTGCTCACCATCTGGTTTTGGTTTTCTGTTTTGTTTCTTACAGCCCCGGCAGAGAGCTCCCCATAAACATTTCCAGCCTCTAAAGCTGCTGTCCTGCCACTTGATATGAAAGTGAACTTTCCTTCATGAAAAAACACCATAATAAATGGCACTGCCAGAAGGTGACCATGGAGGACTGAAGAAAAACTTGAAGTAAAATCAGCCCACTCAAGATGATGCAGTCTGGGAAGACCTGGTTTGCTGTGGAGTGAAAACGTGGTGCATAATATCCAGTGCTAATTTGTTGGAAATGGTCATTGACAGACCTTTAGCTGGAAAATTTCTTCCAGTTTTCATCACTGTGCATAACTTTTGAGTTCCCTTTAGGGGACTGTCTATGCCCTTCACTAGAAGTCCTGTTTTAGCATGGCAACTACTGGATTCTTTTATTATGTATGCAGATGGCATGATGTTTTAGGAAAATCTTACAGCAATTCTCCAATCTCAGTGGATATGTTCACAATATTACACCCCTATAGGAATGTAAACGTCTTGTATATGTTAGTTTTGCAGTCTAATGGTATTTTGTTAAACAATATCAGCACTTCATATGTGCTTTCTGCACAGAACTAGCACAGCCCATATATATATATAATGGTCTTTTTTTAAAATACTGAGGATACGTTTCAGTATTTGTGCTGAGACTGCATCCAAACTGAAGTCCACTCCTAGCATACCTTCACCGATTCACAGTAGATTGTGTAGATAGATTTGCACGTGGCAGAGGTGTGACTTCTTTTATCGAGTCTTAGAGAACAGCTGTCACAGAGGCAGCCAAGAGCAGGGTAGGTTGAACGAGCTGTAGGACGCTGTGTCTGCTCTCCCTCTCATCCGCCAAATGTCAATGGGTCTCGTGTCTGGTGTGCCAATGCGTTTTCTTACTCGGCGAGGGAGAGAGAGCGCCTTTCTCAGAGATGTCTGTGACCCTGGGTTTGGTCTATGATAAAACCAGAATAAACTGGAAGAATTCACGTTCTTTATGCTGGCCACCAGTTGTGTTTTGGGCAAGACTGGGGAATCATAGCCCAAACCAAACTCTCTGAATAAGGTAAAGTGTAAGACTACGCTTCTAAGGAGCAAGATACTCCCTTCAGAGAGGGCAGACTTCTTCATTAACTTTTTCCACTTTCTATCCAAAACGGTGTTTTGGTAGGAACTGGGAATAAGCAAATGGTTCCAATAAGCCTTTCAATATACTGTAGCAGGCTCAAGACTGTTGCATTCAATCTGAGCGTTTGTTTTTGTTCAGTCTCTGAATGGCTGGCCTCATCACTGGCTGTATCACAGCTGGCTGTGGTACTGTTTCTTCCATGGGGACTCAGTGGAATTAGCGCCTGTCCCTGACATCAGGACCTTCTTGACACACTCTTTATGATGAACTGATGCCATCAACATACTGAGGGGACTTAAGTATTTGTTCCTTCTTTCTTTAATATCAAAGGTAGCTTTTTTTCTATTTAAAGACCATCACTCTCTCCAGTCTGATAGACAGGTACTGTAGGGTCGCTGCTAGCATGTATGCCAAACTGGGGGTGGGATGCCAAACTGGTGTGAAGATGCAGCAATGGAGAGAAGGTACAGCTACATCAAGTCAAAGGGACCTTTTTAGAGCAAGCTCCTGTGTTATAATTCTTAAGAACTATTGTACAGTTCATTGCTAGAGGATGGAAGGTCAACCACTGAGAGTGCCCGTACAACAGACAGATAAGTAACTTTAGGGCTTAATTTTTTTCAGATGGGTGTGGGTTTAAGTTTCAGCTCTCCACCCATATCAGATAAGGCATGTTGGATACTTCTATAGTATTCAGTCCAAAAGCAAGTTATTTTTATTGATGACCAAGATTTTCAGAAGTCGCCAGTGATTTCTGATGGTTTGGGTCATTCCATGGGTTCTCAAATGGAGCTCCCAAGAATTACAAAGCAGTAAGCTTCTACATTCTCTTTCTGAAAATCCTGGTCCCTAATTTTAAATTAATTGGTGTAAAAATTCTCCTTCAGACATAAGAATCTTTGCCAATGGCAACACTTGCACTTTTTAGAGCTTTTCATAGGGTTGCAGGTTGGAATCTGATACCAAGAGACCCAGCCGTGTGCATGGCACAGGTCCACTGTAAGCTTCAGCAAATTTTACAGCTCTTTCTGCTACAGGTTTTAAAAATGCGTTCTGGCAAGTGACATCAATTTCATGTTGGTACAGCAATTAAAAAAAAAAAAACAACACTTTGATAGAAGTTATTTCAAAAGGAAGGAGAATGCTATACTTCTGCAGTAGGGATTCTCTTATTTTACTACCCAGTGAAAAAATCCAGAATAATTTGAACGATAAAAGAAGAATTTATCAGAGAGTGTTATCTTAAAAGGGTGTACGAGAAGAAGTTGAGTTAGGCAGAGAGCCACTAGAAGCATTTTTTGTATCAATGTTAGTTTTGAACATCTTCCAGTATATGGGCATGAATTTAGATGTGTGCACTTCTCCTGTTAAAACAGTTTGTTTTAAAAGCTTCCCAGGATTTTAGCTACGGTGACCTAGAAAAGCAGTGTTATAGGCCCTGAGAAATGTGAAAATCAAGTCCAGACCCTTGTGTAGCCAGACTCGGTGAGAAGTCTGCTGTAGGTGCCTATCGGACAAATCTCCATTGAAGCTGGTGTAGGTCTCCATCCTACAGCCGGCCTGTGCATGTGGATAACTGCAAGCATAGTTCCCCTGAGCCCCGTGACACTTCTCACGTGTGTAACTGTCTGCCGGAGCCGTAAGGAAATAACTGTACTTTTTGGCTTGTATTTAACTATTCATCGTGTTTGGATTTTTTAATCACTGTTATTCTCCCAAAGTAGGCCATGCTTCCTCAGGGATATTTATGAAATTGTTCTACATCTCCTGAACAACTATCTGGATCCCAGCTTATTCTTCTGAAAACTTTTTAATATAAATAAACATGTGGGAGAGATTTTTGTTATTATGAATGGGGGCAGGTACTGTGTTCTCGGAAAGGCTATTGAGTGCAGACAATCAAGTCTATTGCATTTTTTATGCTGAACACCTTATTAATAGCAGACACATCCGCTTTTGCCTGGGTCGCAGGAACAGTTCAGGGGAAAGAATGCTTTATCTCTAGTCAATAAATCATTTATGTCGAGAGTGCCAAAGACCAAGTCAACATGAAAGGGAGCAAATAAGTTATTCCGGCAAAGGAAGTGAATTCAAATACGCTCAGAGCCATTAGTTCGGTGCAAAAGAGTAAGAGACTAACGCTATTTTCATAAAACAGCAATTACCAGCCCTGTGGAGACAGATAAATTTGCAGAGGCCAGTCCTACTGTTCCATTGATCGCTAGTCATTATCTCTGAAACACAGCGTACGGCCATCACGAGACCCTTCCCTGTGAGCGGCCCTGCAGCCTTCCTCCCGTGCCCGCTCTCCCTCCCGCCGCCCGCCCGCCCGGGTGCTCTGTGTGAGGAGAAAGGCCGCAGCCTCAGGCCCGGCTGAGGGACGCCGCCAGGGACACGGCCATCCCAGGCGCTTGGGAGCGGGAGGAAGGCCCACTCAGAAACCTGGAGGAATTGCTCACCCCGGAAAACACGCTGCAGCTGAAAGCATCCTTTGCACTCTTTTGTTCCTTTTTTCTTTCCCTCTGTGCAGCTTTCTGTGCATGAACACTCGCCATTCGCTCTGCTGAGGGAAATGCAGCGTCCCGGGAGGGGAGGCTGGAAAAGCCCCACGAGCTCTTTGGTTTTGCCGGCCCAGCTGCACGGCAATGCTCTGCCCGTGGGTCCGTCCCTCCCTCCCTGTTCCTTAGGGGAAGCAGTGTCACTTGACAGCAGCTGTAGTGTCATTGAGGAAATCAAACCATTAGAAATGACAAAACTCTGGTTTTGTTTTGCCCTGAATTTTTGGAAGACCCCAGGCCAGACCCCTGGCAGAGCTGCATTGGCACTGCTCCATCAAAGTCTCCAGAGATGTGGTGATTAATGCCAGCCGCAGAGCCAGGCCTGGGGTGGATTTTTGTCATCGCTAAAACTAACCTCCCTCCACCCGCCACAAAGCCATGAGATCTCAATTATTCAAAATTGTCTCAGGCAAGCAAAGTAAAATCCTGCACCTTTCACATCAGTCCCCTTTCAACAATTAACATCTCTGCCGTTAGCCTCCTTGAAAGGCCCCACTGCAGGACTCTGCTGCAATTGACCCTGGTATATATAGACCGTGGTCAATAAGATTTTAATTTAAAAAGAAAAGGTCCTCTGGTATAATTAAAATTGATGGGTGAGGGGAAAAGTACTTCCATCCCTACCTGCAACCTCCTATAGTGAAATTCAGGAGTGCAAAAAAACCCACCAGCATAATGTATGGATGATTAGGCAGGCTCATGAGGATAAATCAGCAAGTAAGAAAAGTAGATATTTGATGAGGGAGGCCAGAAAACTGCATAGGAAGTCAGTGGCCAATGGATTAGGGCTAGTTAGACCAAAGACTTTACATATATCCTAATAAATACAGTCGCAGCAAAGCTAAGTCTGTTGTTAGACAGGCCCAGCACAGTGATTACTCACAGTACGTGTAAAAACCAACAAATATTCTTGTTTGGTATTTGAAAGCAGTAGAAGGAGGGAGTCATATTGCACGTTAAAATGTAATTCTTCCTACTCCATCAGTAATTATGGGTAATATTAAGCAGCAACTCTCCAAACATATTTTTCAAATTTGCAGAAGCGGGTAACTGAATCCAGAAGTGTAGGAAAACTTGCCTAGGACCCCTCAGAACTGGAAAGCATAAAGGAAGCTCCACATGACACTCAAAAACCCAAGAATTGAAAAGAACTAGTGATTTAACCCAGAAAGCTGTAGGTTCATTAAATTCCTATCAGTCCTAGGCAAAATCATTGAAAGGTTGATATGACACAATCTTTAAAGCAATTAAAAATTGATAAAACTCTCCGAATTACTTTTATAGAAATATCATGCCAAATAAACTTGCTGTCATTTTTTTGATATCAAAGGCTTGTTGATAGAAGAAACTCTGCTGACATACTACGCTCAGCCTCCTATAGATCATTTGATGCTGATAAAGAACAAAATAGCATAATGCAAAATCAATATAGCCTGTATTAAGTGGATTAAAACTGATCGCAAAAAATAACTGTAAATATGAAATTATCATCAGCAAGACTATTCCTAATCAGCTCCTCTCAAGGTATGCTCTAATTTCAGTGTTCCTCCCAGGGAAAGAGAACATTATTGTTGGGAACAGCCAGAGACGACAAAACCAGGGGTGCCGTAAATAACGATATGGAGCAGGTCAGTGGTAGAGAGGAACCAGGAGGAGGGCAAAGCCAGAAATCCAGGAGAGATGGCGGCAAGTCCTGCTTGGAGGCCTGGGGAGTACGTCTGGAATAATACAATGTCTGTGAAGGTCTGATAAATAATCCATTTGGTGTCGACCCCCGAGATGCTCTCACCAGCTGGGATGCAGGACCTGGCGATAGCCACACGCTCTGCCAGTTTGTTCGGTTCCTGCCTGTCTTTCAAAGAGGGTATCGACAACTTGGAAAGATTATTTTCAATAGCTGCCAGTGTCAGCCAAGGGCAGGAAAACAGGTCTTATTATAGTGTCAGACTAATGACGCTCGAGCTATTAATTTATCAGAAGCAATTTGAAGAGGTGACTTGATCTCCATCTGCAATTGCAATCCTCTACCTGGGCAGGGAAGTGCTGTCTGAAGGCAGGTAGCTCTTTTATTTAGAAGAAAAGGGAATGATGTGCTCTACTGGTTGGAAACTGATTTCAGGCTAGAAATTAAGTGCAAATGCTCGACAGGGAGGATAATTACCCATGGAGACAACTTACTTAGTTACCTGGCATGTTCTCCATCACATAAAGTCTTTAAATGTATGCAGAGTATTTTTCTAAGTCGATAAACTCTACCTCAAACTGAAATCCAGGCTCAGTGCAGCAATTACTGGATGAGGTTATTAGGTATGTGTTGTGCAAGGATTAGAGTAGATCATCACGTTTAAACTTCTAAATTGAAATTATCTTAAAAGTTTCCAATAGTACAGGAAGGCAGGGCAACCTTTATCCATTTTTTCACACAAAGTAGTCCTAATTTTAACAGCTGATACGAACTGAGCTGTGCTTGCCAGCGTTTGGTCTGAGCCTTGTAGGTCTGCTTGCAGTTGCAAGGTCCTTCTGTGTGTAATTAAAGGAAGAAAACCAGACTAGAAAGGACAAGACAAACCCTTGGACATATAGAAAAGAGTCCGTTGTCTTTCATTAGTAGCAGCCTGAGACAAACTGATGCTCTCAAATGATGGGGCCAGGCAGAAGTGTAGTCTGAGCAAGGAATAACAACTGTGGGTTTGCCTCTTAATTAAGGAGGTAGCATCTTGCTGGCAAGAAACAGATTTTCCTGCCTTCAGCAGCCGGCAGAGAAGCTGCGGTGCTGATTGAGAATGATATTGTATCGCTGTGCCGCTGAACATGGTACACGAGCTCCGTGCTTCAAAGACAGCAAACTGTTCCTGCTATCATGACGAGCCCCATCGGAGCCGGTTAATAAAGCCCTGGAACTGAAATGACTTCAGCGGGACTACCCAGAGTAATGAGAGCTGCTCCCAGTGGTGGGTTTTTGCGAGATTGGGCCCTATTACCGTTGACTGCTTTGACTGTTTTACCTTAGAAATAAGCAAAGGAGCCCTTGGCATCTGATTTGGGTTTCACAAAACCGCTGTTGGTGGGTGCCGAGGAAGGGCCAACCATCAGAACCACCTTCTGCCGGGCTTCATCGGGCGGTGGGGGACAGCAGGAGCTGGGATGGACTTTCTAAAGAGTAAACAGTTCACGCAGACAGGAGAAACCATAAAAGCAATACTTACTGCAAATTGGTATTGAATCGACATCAAGAAGCTGAAACAAGAAAGGAGCTGGCTGCGGCCGAAGCTAAGAAGATAACGATCTTTGGGGATTCTTGCTCTAATCCAGTGTGAAATCCTAAGAAAATGAGTTTGGTCTAGATTTATTGTTTAAAGAACACTAGTACAAGCCGGCTGCCTGTCAGATAAATTCTGTGGAGTCACTGGCTTCGGTGCATGATGGCTTTCAAGTGTCTTCCAGCTGCCGAGACACCTTGCTGCTCTGAAGGAGAGTGGTCCTCAACAGGCTCGTCTGGGGTCAGGCTGGAGGGAGGAGGAGCTGGACCTGCAGAGATGACTGTGTAACGTCTGCTTCTGCCGTACAAGTAGGATTGCCAGCATTAATATAACACTTCCAGGCTTAGGCTGAGAATGAGACGAAAAGCTCCTTTCTGATTTTAATTCCAAATATATCTAAACACTTTTTCAGAAAAACAAAATCCTCCATAGCTGTTGTTACATCTCTAATCATGTTACTTCCATTAAGCACTTTTGCCTTGAATTCATCTATTTAATATCATAAGTCACCAAATTAAATAGCGATACACAGGGTTTTTTTAAAGCAGGGAGATCAATATTGCAGCAAAACTGCATGAAAGCAATAAGAAGCTGTGCAGAGAAACAAAACCTAACCACAATCTGCCCCATCAGATGCTATGGGGACTCGTTTGGTTGGTTGCTTTTGTTTATTGAGGGCATGGTTTACATCTAGACGGAGGTTTTCCCTACTGAGCCAAGCTCTGGTCTCAAGACCAGTAGAGATAAAGAAATGTTTGGAGTCCTCTTACCCCTTCATCTGCAGCCCTAAGTGTGCAAGAGGCTTCTTCTCTGCTTTTCTCCTGAGAAAGGCAGAAAGGAGACTAAGTGGCAACAGAGAAAGCACAGAGGAACCTGAGCTTCCAGCCCTTGCAGAGCATCTCAGCATGAGACCCAGAGCTCTGCCCTCTCCTCCTGAGCCCAGTGCCATGGACTGGGGGAGGAATGGGCCATGCTGGGTGAACCTCCAGGCGAAGCCCAGTGTCCTCTGCCCTGCTGGGGGCTCTCTGGAA